CATAAATATACACATTCGTAACCACATTTTTTAAAGCAATCATCAAAAAATAAGCAAATTATTTGTATAAAACTTAAATTTATTTATTTAATTATCTGGATTTAGATAAATAATCATTATATGTCCATATAATCATACTAAATTTCTATTGTCATTAAGACAGTTTATTTCTAATATTATTACTAATAGGAGAACATTTAGTAAAATTAAGAAAACAATGAAAATTGTACCTTAAAATATACCACTAAAATAATTTCACAACTTGACCTTAAAATATATAGCAATTGTCATTGACTCATTGGCAAAATTATTACTTCTAGGAATTAACAGAAAATCTGGGATTATATAATAATATCGATCCTATACAAGAATCTCCAACGGGACACCAAATTAGACTTTGCGAATGAACTTTATCGAAAACGATGAGGAATAATAATAATAATAATTCTCCATGAAAATAATTTCGACTTTCCACGCATTCACTAGCACCCATCACGAGGGACAGTAATGAGGCCATTGCATATAATAAATTAATCATTATGATATACTCGTACTTGTAATTTTGTAATGGTAAAAATATAAATGTCAAAAAGCAAGATGTTAATATTTAACCATTGACTCAGTCAAAGCTCCAATCTTTATTGACTTATTTAATAAATTTGTGTACTAAACACGAAGAAAAATCCAATATTCTTAACATAAAATTTTTAACTAGAAGTCACTCAAAAATATTAATGACTTTCTGATATTCAAAACCAAAATTTAAAAAATTTCAAAATGAAATAATTGTCAATAAAAAATAAATCATTAAACAATTTTTTTGTTATCATGTGTTTCGTTGATTTTGTATAATTCACATTAATAATGCAATAATTTGATTTATTATGACAAAATAAATGCTATCTGTATTGAATAGATATTCAATACGGATATATACATTTCAATAAATGTACAATATATTAGCAATCATTGTACAAAAGTAAATTACAAAAGTAAATTTGATGGCATTTATCTAGACTTAGTTTATATATATTTTATATATATTAGTT